AAGTTTAGACACATAAATTTTGAAGGTCCAGCTACCCTACTATTACCCACAAGGGTAAAGGAACAGCACCACTGCTTGATAACTAGAAAGTCCCAATGTGTGTCAACCTCCGTGCTCCGTGGCAAGGCAGACTGGCAAAAATGCCCAACCTTTACTCACATTCGAGAAAACACTCCCAACAAGATTGCTTGCTCAAAAATCGAAGAGGCACCGCCCTCCGAATCTCGAGAGCCAGACTCCCAACAGGATTACTTTCTAAAAAATCGAAGAAACACTGCTCTCCGAATCTCAAGAGTCAGACTTCCAACAGGATTGCTTTCTCAAAAATCGAAGAGGCACCGCTTTCTGAATCTCGAGAGCCAGACTCCTAACAGGATTACTTTCTCAAAAATCGAAGAGACACTGCTCTCCGAATCTCAAGAGTCAGACTCCCAACAAGATTGCTTTCTCAAAAATCGAAGAGGCACCGTTCTCTGAATCTCGAGAGCCAAATCCCCGACAGGATTGCTTGTTCGAAAACCGAAGAGGCACCGCTCTCCGAACTTCGAGAGCCATATTTCCTTGGATAAAGCTTGTCTATAATCTTCACACGCAACATCAGCTTTCCAGATAACATAGACCACTTTTTCAAAATTCTCTGACAAAGTTAAAACACGTGAAGCTTGCAGCTCCCACTACATTGCTATGACCAAGAAGGGTAAATGAATAGCACAACTACTTGTTGTTAGGGAGACTCCTATATATGTCGACCTCCATCCTCCACAGCCAGGCAAACCTGCAAATAAAAAAAAATGCTCAACTTTTTTTCACATCCGAGAGGGCACTCTCAACAGAGTCTCTCGAAATACTCAGCTTCTTTTCCTCCCGATAATACCTCTGCAAACAAGCCACACCAGAGCAAGAGTATCTCATATCATCAGGGTTAAAAGCAAGAGTATCCCATATCATGCTTTTTCCCTGTCTTTTCCTTTGGCCTTGTTCTTACCTGCAAGACAAGGAGAAAGAGAGCAATCAGTCAGCACTTGGAATCAAGCTTCCAGTCAGGAACTGACTGCCTGGAACCCTTTGCCTGATTACTTACCTGGCATTGCTCTCGAGTACTCATCTTCAACATCTTATGCTTCCAGAGAAGATACCACATCTGCCTGAGGAACATATAGGGCAAGTGAGAAGGATACAAGGAAGCATGTGGAGACAAGCGTAACAGAACACGTGCCGATACATCCACTACTTTGTCAACAGCAAAAGTATCCCATATCATCAGGGTCGAACGTACTCTAGATTTGATGGACTTGTTTTGACCCTCAAATTCTTGAGTCGGCCTTATAATCTGGAGGAAACCAGAAAACCCTCCAGCCAAGTTCAAGAATAAGCATGTGGAAACTTACTTCTTCAAAAGAAAAAGTATCTCATATCATCTCTTCTCCATTTGCTTCTCCTTATCCTTGTTGTTGTTTACGACACAAGGAGAAAGAGAACAATCAACCTGAAGCCGAAGTCGAACCTCCGATCCAGGTTGCTTGCTTGGAAGTTTGATTGCTTACCTTATCTATTACCTCCTTTGGCAAATCTCCTAGCTCGGCGACTTGGGGACTCCTACTATATGGGTTTGTATCGCACTTGACCAAGCCCGAAACTACAAGTAAGCTTCAAGTGAAATTGATACATTACCTTGTGCATCTTCATCGGTTAAAGATACCACCCCTGGATGGAGGAAAAGTACTTCCAAAGAAGATGCCACATCTACCTATAAGACAGATAAGGCAAGTGAAGAATGATACCACACTTCGGTACTTAGAAGTTTCGTGATTACTCAATGGCTTGGATCTTGCAAGTCCCCAACCGAGAAGCTTCCCTCACTCAGGAACTTAGGGGAGCACTATTTGTACCATACTTGACCAATCCCGAAACTACTGAGCATCAGTCAACGTTACACCGTCAAGGACCCAGAAGAGTTTCCCTCCAACCAGGAGGCCAATCATAGCGCGACACGTGTCGACATCAGAAGCCAATCATAGCACGACACGTGTCAATGTCAGAATGAAACTAGAAACTCTCTTCTATAAATAGAAATCATTCTCTCACAATATTTTCTAATGTCATTTGTACTAAATCATTCACTAGTACTCACTGAAGAAGAGCTTGAACCTATGTACTTATGTAAACCCTTCACATTAATGATAACTCCTCTACTTCGTGGACGTAGCCAATCTGTGAACCACGTACATCTTGTGTTTGCTTCCCTGTCCCTATCCATTTACTTACTTATCCACACTAGTGACTCGAGCAATCTAGCGAAGGTCACAAACTTAACACTTTCTGTTGTACCAAAGTCCTCACTGATTTTGTGCATCAACAGAGTCCATTATCATTTTAAACTATATAATTAATGTGTTGAAATTCTACATAATTAATTTCCAAGTACACCCCTAATTAATCTACCAGCATTCTTCCCAACCCTAGTTACTTTAGTCCTTCCACTTCCTCTTCTCTTTTTTCTTCTTCTCATGTCCATGTCCTTCCACTGATGGATTGTTAAAAAAAGTTGCAAAAAATGAAACCAATCTTGAAACTCATTTTTTCCTTCTCAAAATCAACCAATCTACTCACTCGAATCACACTAATCAAACTAAAAACTCAGACTTGTTATAAAAAAAAAAAAAGTGTGCCTGATCATCATTGAGAGTTCGTCTCCTCTATGTATCTGCCATTCAGAAGGGAAGGAAGGGTAGATGGGGGCAAATCAAGGGATGGGGAGAGGAAAGATCAAGGGTGGGACTACGAGGTTGGAGGCGTCGTATCCCATGAATTGGTTGGTCATAGATGGGTAGAGGAACATGGAGTAGTGCCAAACGGCTAGGTGGTGGTGCATAGTGGTGGGTTTTTAGTACTTCAAAACAAAAACATAAAAGTAAAATAATAATAAAAAGTATTTGATCAATAAAAACGGCGGGAATTAAAAAAAAATCAAGGGTATATGAGGAAGTTAAATATCTAAAATTTCAACACATTAAATATAGAGTTTAAAGTAATAGTGGAGTTTACATGGCAAGAAATGAATAGGAATGGCAAGTGGGAAAGGCAAGTGGAAAAGGCAAGATAGAAAATAGCTAGCATTCTTCATATTTTAAATAAGATAATGTTAGGGAGATCAAATTTTTAAGGGTAATGCTAAGAGACCAATTTTTTTAACCAAATGATGTGGTTGTTAATTGATTATTAATTAAGTGTCAATTAACGTGCTTGTTTCTCATCGGTAACACATGTTTAGTTTAAAATTTTGGCCTCTCTAGGGTTTCCCAATTTTTAAACCAAATTTGCAAACTAAATTAATAATCCAATTAAAAATCCAATCATCAACAACCATATCATTTAGTTTAAAATATTGGTTTCCCTTGCATTTCCCTTTTGAATATGAGGCATGAGTTTACAATTGCACCCAACCTTAAGGATGCAAATTATAATTAACCCTAAAACTTTTAGATCATATGTGCAAGGAGATAAATAAGGATAATGCTAGGAAAACCAAATTTATAAACCAAATTTGCAAACCAAATGATGTGTCACCAATAGGAAAGAGGAAATTGTAGCAATGGCCCCTCAACTTTAACTCAATTGGAGCAATGGTCCCTCAACTAAAAATCCATGACTATTAGTCCCTTAACTTATCAAAACATGTAACTATGGTCATTTTCGTCAACTCCGTTAAAACTTCCGCCAAAAAGAGTTACATGTCACGCACGTGAGAGTGAATCAAGGGCAAATATAGAAAACCAAATGAAAAGAATTGTAGCAATGTTCCCTCAACTTTAACCCAATTAGAGAAAGGGTCCCTCAACTTTAACACAATTGGAGTAGTGGTCCCTCAACTTTAACCAATTGTAGCAATGGTCCTTCCAACTTTAACCCAAAGAGTACATTAAGATCAAGCGAGTATACTTCCGCAAAATCCCATGAGTTTCATATAATTCCAAAGAGAACTAACAACGTTACAACTTAAAAGGTTTACACATGCCAATTCCTTAAGAAAGTGGAAGTATGAGCTGTGTAGCCACTATAGGACTTAGAAACTCATTATGAAGCTCATACCCACTCCCTATAGTTTTGAGCATAGAATGGACGAGTGGCACTGGCTCTACGATTATTTTTAGAGTTTATAATTCCTAGAGATGGACGTCTTTACGAGTGAAATAGTTGGAGTGAAAGTGAATAATTTTTTTTTTCAGTTTTAATATAATTGCAAGAACATTTTGGTTTTAACAATAAAAAAAAAAATTATTGTGATATCTTGTGGGATTAAAATGATAAAAGTTAATTGATTAAAATTAAACATAATTTAAAACAAATTACATTATTATGTTTTTAATATTAAATAACTTTTGCTCCACAAAAGATGTTGTGGGTAAGCTGTTTATATTTTTTATTTTTTATTTTTATTTATAAAGCTTACCCAATGTAACATTTTGGTCGGGCAGTGCAACCTCATTTGCCTTAAGAGATTTAGGCCTTGTTTGATATAGAGGATTAACTTGAATATGACTATTCATTATTCTTTGAACACAAAATAACATTTTTGGGCCGAGCACATAATCACTCTCGGTCCAATAAAAAAGGTGTCAGGTATTTCAGAGTATTCTCACCAAGGGCCCGACCCAATAAGATTAGGCCGAGTCCTATTAGGAAATGGTTTCATTTGGATAAGGGTGAGTGGCCGAGTCCTAGTATAATAAGGAATCCTCAAAGGCTAGTTATGCTCCAAATAGGAAAAGATGCCAAGAATCAAGGGTTGAATCTAGGTGATAATAAAGCTAGGTTCAGAATCCTACATGAACCAGGTTGGCTGAAGCCTATTCAAATTTGATCAAGGAATTGAAGTTCAAGTAGAATTCTACTTCAACCATGTGGAATTGCTACAATAAATAGAGAGGAGGGTACATCATTCAAAGCCCCTCCAAATCAACACACAAAATTGTCTTGCTCAAACTCTCACTCTACGCGAATCCTCTCAAACACCTTGAGATTTTTATTTTACCTTTTTTCCGCCAACATACCTTCAGTTTAGACAAACAGCACTGTGTTGGCAACCGACAACATCTTCAATTTGGATAAATAACACTAGAGTCGTAGAATTAGTCAACCGAAGAGCACCTTTAGTTTAGATAAACAGCACTGCTTCGAGACCGACTGGTTATCTATCCAAGCCTCAGTCAGCAAGGAATCTCCAGATCCTTGTTGGAAGAGGTTATATCTCATTAGCCTTCTTGTTGAAGTGAGGTGTTACCAAGTTACGACATTAGGCATACTAAAAGCCGAATTTGATATTGAACTTTGCAAAAACTAGCAACCTTGTCTTCAGGCGTGTTCCTTCCTCGACCGCAATCACAAGATTCAAAAGTCGTATGCGCGCCCAACACCATATCAACATTCATTCACTTCCTGGCCAAGCTCAGCAAATAAGCTGGCACGCCCTGCATTCAACCGAATGACGTAGTTAACTTATTAGTTATTCAACATGCCCACAACGTAGGCTAGGTGATTTTTAGGGCCAACAATTATATTAAAAACATGTTGAAGGAAGGAATGGATGAGAACTATATTTTGTCCAAGTTGATGGCTACTCATGAAGAAAATATATTTCTATTGATGCCCGCAAAGTGGTAGGATTAAAAGAGGCAACTTTTCGTCATGGATAATCTTCAACTTGAACAAAATAAGGAAGTTGTCATTCATTTCTTCCTTCAAATGCCTTTAAAATAGTAAATAATCCTATCCAAGCCAATCCACTCTACCAAAACAGACTTTTAAGTCTTCTATTAAAACACCCACCACTGAATTATCTACCCTCAACTACTTAAAAACTTGTTGAATTGCTTTAAACTTTACCAAATGGTCAAAAGGGAGTTGGAGACCTTGAATTGATTAGTTTCACTTTCTGTGCGGTTCACTTGTACTAATAGGACCAGCTTAATTAGTAGGTCCAAAAAAGTTGCAAGCAGCACCCAACATCAAGAAAAATCCAACAAAAAAGTTATACATTTGTTGATGGAATGTTTGAGATCGGTGACACGGGAACTCATGGCAGAACAAGTTACTGAAACTAGGCATCATAAGTGCATATGTTTTCAAATCCCATGTACTCTTTGTTCTCAATCTTTTCAACCATACTCGCTATCCCAACCCCACCTGTTTCAAAACAAATCAATCATCCATCAATCTTGAAGCAGAAATGTAACGAAACTGAATTCAATATCTGACAAAAATACGGGTCCGTTTGGTAACTTTTTTTAGGGACGGATACATACCTAGTGATATTGCACTCACAAAGATTGTGGAGGCTAGAATGAAGACAATTATGGATGCTCTCCCTAATACACTGATCACCTTTCTCACCACATGTTGCCCTACCAGGGCAGACAAGCTGGCCACGAGAGCAAAGTACAGAGCTGCAATGGAAATTTAACAATGACCAAAAGGCTTCCTACCGTTTAACATTTTATTTAACAGAAACTTGACGATAAGGCTGGGAAGTTACCATAGGGAACTGGAAAACGTTTGAGGAGATAGTACTCGACAACGGACATTGATGCAGAAAATGTCATGGCAAATGTGGCAGTGGCACTTGACACCTGCAGAACGATATATAATCAACCAGCGAGGCAAGAAAGAAAATAATCTTCATGCATACCACGAAAGGGCTGGTGTGTCATATATAGTCTTAGGATCACATACAACTTATCACTAAGACCCTAAACAGAATTATGTGAAGGCATTAAAGATAGAGAGTATGAAAATTACCTGAGGTGGGAGTCCCAGCTCAAGAAAAAGAGGGCCTAAAATGAAACCACCACCAAGACCAAGCAATCCACCAACTATACCAGCTGTGATTCCACCGCCACAATAAAGAAAAAGCTGACGGACCTTCCAATCTGTGCCTGATTCTTCCATGGATTCAATCACTCTATGGCCCTTGTACAGGTTAACTGCCTCGTACGTAGATACTCCCAAAGCCACGGGGATCTAGAAATTTTGTTTAAGGAAGAACAAAGCTGAAAATGACACTTTTGAAACCACAATTGAATTCATTCAAGCTCGTAAGGGGGCATGTATTTCAAGAGCAGAATATGGAAAGTAATGTTTTCTTGTTATGTAGGGCATGGAAGGTACCTGCAAGAGATTTAATACCCAATATTCTGCTGAACAAGTTGTCGTATAATTCTGCCAACAACAAACAAGTTTCCCATGAATCCAGTTTTTAATGCATAAACTTAAGGCGAATGCAAAATCATAAGCTTTTAAAGAAATCAACCACATAGAGATAGATATATATACCTTCGCGATCTGCAATGCAAGTATTATGACCCAGACAGCAACAAGAAGTAGTAATTCCTTCCAGTAAACATTCTCCATAATAGAAACCTGAAAAGGTTAGAGAAGTCAGTCATGCGTAAATGGAAGTTCAGGCAACCAAAATCATACCTCTATTCTTTTGGACTCCTTGGTGGCTAATACACTGCTTAGGCCACTAGCTAGAGGTCTGTATTCAACTTCATCGTCACTAGAACTACCTAAATCAAAAATATCGGCACATTAACCGGTATAGGTGAAAGATTACCAGTTCAAAGCTACAATGATAAGATCAACTCACCATTTGACTGCATTAGTCTGGCAACCTCCTGAAAAAAAAAAAAAAAAAAATCCAAACAAACAAACAGTCAACGGAATTGCAGAGTTTGATTAAGTCAAACATTATAAAAATTAATGTAATGAAAACTTTCTAGTCGACCTTTATTAATATAGTTTCTTTTTTCCATGTTTCGACTCCCTTCAAGAATGCCTTAGTTGATGTGCCTGCAGGTCGTCACATACTTAAACAAGTTGTCCGAGATGAAACAAGAAATTTCATATAATTCTTACCTATGAAAAAGATCATTAGCAACACTGTGATCATCCAGTTAGCAAATATCACATTGAAAGATACTCCAATACTGATCCCAAGCATCAGCATTGGCTGGACAAGAAGTGCCAGGTCATAGTCGATGATTGGAAGGTCAAGTGTAGGATGCCTTAGCCTCAAATTGTAGAAAACAGTTGCAGCTGCTCCGCCTGTGATCATACCTGAACAACCAGATTGAAGCACAAACGTTGTTACATTTGCAAGGTGAAAGAGGTAAATATTGACCTATATATCAATCTAATGGATGGTGATATAATAAGGCAATGACACACACATCATTTGGTGAAAGAAAATATAAACTAGGATGATCTTTGAGGTGCCAAGTGATTATAAAATCCAAAAAAAAAAGAAGCGCCTATTGCAAAAGAACACCAAACAAGGAGGGAAAATTTGTGAGAAAGTACTTACAGTTGGATATTGCCGTTGATGATTTCTCATCAAATCCGATGATCAAAGTGAGCATTGGAACGAAAATGCCTCCCCCACCAACACCTCCGACGGTCCCAAATGCAGCCCCAATGAATCCAATTATAGTGCCTACCACAATTCTCCAGTCGAATTTCATTTCCTGCATATTTCAGTTCGGCCAAATCATATGTAGGTCCAGTTTCAAACAGTCACTAACCAAAAAATTGGAGCTTTGTTGAACTATTTTAAGAACACTAATCAATCAAATGAATCAACTATTCGATTTTGTACACAATTTAGGTTACAATCGGTTTTATGAAGGAAAAACTGATAGAAAATAACATTTCAAGAAATATTAAATAGGAAAAACTGATCACGAAGGGAAAGAAAATCCAAACTTACAGGCCAAACGTGCTCATACCCCAATCGACCCCTTTGCCACAGAAAGTTTAACATTCTGTTCAAGTAATGTTGCGTCGCGGAATCATCTTGCTGCAGAGTTTCTTGTGCTGAAGCAGCTATTGAAGCTAGAACAAGAACACCAGTCACAACAATTGCTGCCCACCTTAGATCCCGAAACCGAAATCCAACTTCATCAGCCATCTGATTTCTTCAACCCCACAAAAACAAAATGGAAACTTCCCCAAAACCTAAACCTCAGAGCAAATCGGAACTCGAAACGATACGCCAGTCTGTATATAAAGTTGGGGATGATGAAAGTACGGAGAAACTTCTTGCCTAAAAGAACCAAGAAGGAACTCTGCTCTGTCAAACCCTTGCTCTCTCCCCCTCTCTATCTGTCATCAATCTCTCTCTCTCTCTCTCTCTCTCTCTCTCTCTCTATAGGTGATATATAATCTGTCCTACAGTCCTACTACATATTTAAACAGGTGGTGTGAGAGAGCAGCATCTATCTTTTGTTTTGCTTGTTTATACTGTTCTTATTTTAAAGTTCAAACTTCAAACAATAAACCCGCTTCTCTTTCCAAATAATAAAAAAAAAAATTAATAATAATAATAATTTGGTTTATTGGGCAAATCTGCAAGATTTGGATCTCATCTACTCTTTGTGATTTTGTTAAGAGTCTAGGAATAATCGCATTCTATCTATTGGAAAAGGATTCTCGCCGATTCCTTTTTCTAAGAATCCAGGAATTTCATAATCGTGACCGTTCATCGTATATCGTGCGATTAGAAATCGTTTATTGTACAACATGCAACTATTAATTATTTTAAATTTTTATTTAAAATTAAACTTAAATAATACTTAACAAAAATTATCTTATAATATACTATAAACAAATAAGACACGAGGATCCATAAAATCCTCCCAAAGAAAATCATGAAAGAATCCTCATCCAAATATGCAAAGTTAACCCCACTCATTCGTGAAATTTACTCAATTAGCTTTTCATTTATTTTGCTTTAATGGGGACCCAGATGATGAAATGAAAGACTGAAAATTTCACCAAAATGAGTCGTTTCACAAACACCTATTAGACGGGTGATGCACTTCAGATTATTTTCTTGATTAAAAAAGAAGTTTCTCTTCGAAATTTGGTTAGACATGTTTCTTTGCATATTTATAAAGTCATCTCCAACCGAAGAGTCTAGAGGGTCAAAGGGCCGAAAATAGCCCGAAAACCGTCTCCAACCGAGGGTCAGGCCAGAGGGCTGTGGAATCTGAGAGGGTCCCACGGAATCGGAGAGGGCCAAAGGGCTGGCCATTTCTAGCCAGCCAGCCCCAGGTTGGCCAGATTTTTTTTTAAATGTGTGAGATTTCCCGTCGGTTATAACCGACAGTAATACATTTATACTAAATAATATAAATGTATTCCTAACCGACAGTAATACATTCATATTACTTAATATGAATGTATTACTGTCGGTTATCACCGACATGAATGCTTTGAATTTTCTTTTTTTTACAGTTTTATTATTATTTTTTATTTACAAAATTTTTCCTATAACTTCTATTTTTCATATTTTTTTTTAAATTCTATTTTTTTTCCTATAACTTTTATTTTACAAAATTTGTTTCATATTTTTTTTTAAATTCCATTTTTTCCTATAACTTCTATTTCACAAAATTTGTTTCATTTAATTTTAAATTCTATTTTTTTTTTCCTATAACTTCTATTTCACAAAATTTGTTTCGTATTTTTTTTTAATTCTATTTTTTTTCCTATAACTTACTAAGCCATTATACAACATTAAATTAAATTAAGTAACATGAAACAAAATTAAATAACATTAACCAACATAAAAATTATACAACATAAAAAAACATTTAACAACATGAAACTTAAACAACATTTAAGTTGTAGTTTTTAAATAATGAATTATGTTTGGCCCTATGACCCTTTGGTCCTCGGTTGGAGACGGTTTTTTGTGATATGGCCAAAATGAGTCATATGGCCCTTTGGCCCTTGGTTGGAGACAGAGACAAATATGGTCATGTACTATTCATTAAAATATTAATATCTTAGAGGATCTTAGAAGGCTAGAGGGCGAAAACGAGCCATCTAGCCAGCCATCGGTTGGAGATGGCTTAAAGGAAAACTAATGAAAATAGTTTGAAAACTTTGAGTTTTAACAATAAGGACAAAATAAAATGTAAAATGAATAGTACAAGGATTAATTTTTTAATGTAAAAATATAATTTTTCGTTAAAATAAATAGTACCCAAAAGTTTTTCGTTAAAAATTCCTATTTGTAATTCTATATTTTTCAAGGTCAAAGTAAATCTCAGAAAGAGGTTTCTGAACCACTCTATATATTTATAATTTTACATATATCAAGGCCAACACTAATCTCTAGATTGGAAGATAAATCTCAGAAAGAGTTTCTAAGGCCATCTCCAACTGATAGCTGGCCAGATGGCTCGTTTTAACCCTCTGGCCCTCTAATATCCTCCAAGATATTAATATTTTAATGAATAGTACAGGACCATATTTGCCTCCGTCTCCAACCGAGGGCCAGACTCGTCTTAGCCCTGTCACAAAAAACCGCCTCCAACTGAGGGCCAAATGGTCATAAGGCCAAACATAATTTATTATTTAAAAACTACAACTTAAATTCAAATCCAACAGCTAAGTGACGTCAACTAGCCATTGGATTTGAATTTTTTTTTTCTATAAATAGGGTGGATATTGGGATATAATTCACACAACTTTGAATTCAATCTATTTCAATTCAATCTCTTTCAATTCAAGTTTGCAATGAATTCCAACTGTGGATCCTGTTTAGATTCCAAATGGGGGCCCTCATCCAATTCCAAAACAGAAGCAAAATGGGCATAAATGAGACAAGAAGATGAGGAGTCTGAAGAAAAAGTTCAAGTAAGGCGCAACAAACAAAACAGAGCAGCAGCCATGGTGTGTCAGCCAACTGAGGAACAACCTCAATGGGGTGGCTCTATTGCTGGTCGCTCATACAAACCACGAAACAGAGCGATGACACATGCCAATATGATGAACAACTACTTCAACCTCAACTCAGTGTACACAGAAGAGGATTTCAGACGTCGCTTCCGGATGAGGTGTCATGTCTTCGAGCGTTTACTTCATGATGTCCAACAAGTCAATCCGTACTTTGGACAAAAGCAAGACAGAGCAAGCTGCCCCAGTTTCTCACCTCATCAGAAGGTTACTGTTGCACTCCGAATGATGGCCTATAGCTCCCCAGCTAATTCGATGGATGAAACTCATGGTATGTCTGAGTCTACATGCCTTGATACTCTTGAACAATTTTGTGACACAATTGTTCAGGTTTACAAAGACGAGTACCTCCGCGAGCCAAATCAAGAAGATCTAAATCGGCTCTTTCGCAAAGCTGAAGACCGTGGGCTTCCGGGCATGATAGGGTCATTAGACTGCATGCATTGCGATTGAAAGATTTGTCCCACTGGATGGCAAATAGGCTTTAGCTGAAGGTCGAGAAAGCCAACTATTGTGTTAGAGGCAGTTGCCTTATAAGACACATGGATCTGGCATGCTTTCTTTGGAGTCCCTGGATCTCAAAATGACATTACAGTTCTTGGGCATTCACCCCTATTCAATAACTTGACGGAAGGTAAAGCACCTCAACTTGACTACTACATCAACAGCCGTCAATATAATATAGGGTATTACTTGGCAAATGACATCTACCAAAAGTGGGCGACACTTGTCCAAGCAATTCCAAACACTAGGAATGACGCAGAAAAGTTGTTTACCTTACGCCAAAGGGCATACCGGAAAGATGTTGAGAGAGCTTTCGGTATTCTACAAGCACGGTGGAAGATCATCAGTGAACCAACAAGAGGGTGGAGTCGAGAAAATTTGGACTCCATCATGATGTCTTCATATTACACAATATGATAATGGAGGATGAGCGAGATGCGTATATTGATGGAGAGTCCGATGATGACCAAGAAGATCCAAATAGGTCTGTGAACACGGAAAATTCCTGAAACGAAAGAGACAAGAACGAACGCGCACAAACAAATATTTGTATTTTGATGATTTTGGGTTACAATCTCTCTCAAATTTGATCCTCTGATTCGATCTCCGTAAGGTGTTGATTGGTGGGTGTTTCGTTGATCCAAGGGCCGTCGAGGCTTAATCTTGGATGAACAGTTGGAAGTTTCTTCAAAGGGCCGTGGGCTTGATCTTTGAAGGTGGATTTGAGCGGATCTTCAAGGGCTTTTGGGCTTGATCTTTGAAGAACAGTGATGAACGGATCTCCAAGGGCTTTTGGGCTTGATCTTGAAGAACAGTGATGAACGGATCTTCAAGGGCTTTTGGGCTTGATCTTGAAGAACGGTTGGGATGTGTGGATTTGTCGACGTTGTTGATCCAAAGGGCCGTTGGGGCTTGATCTTGGATGAACGGATGATGAACGATGGTGCTTTCTTCAAGGGCCGTCGGGGCTTGATCTTGAATTGGTGGATGATTGTTGATCCAAAGGGCCGTTGGGGCTTGATCTTGGAAGAACGATGAACGAAGAACGAAGAACGCTTTCTTCAAGGGCCGTCGGGGCTTGATCTTGAATTTGTGGATGATTGTTGATCCAAAGGGTCGTTGGGGCTTAATCTTGGAAGAACGATGAACGAAGAACGAAGAACACTTTCTTCAAGGGCCGTCGGGGCTTGATCTTGAATTGGTGGATGATTGTTGATCCAAAGGCCGTCGGGGCTTGATCTTGGAAGAACGATGAACGAAGAACGAAGAAGGCTTTCTTGATTCTTCGGGAACCTAGATGCTTAAGAGCTTCGGAGTTTCAGAGCTTCAGAGCTTCAAGGTGTAATATGAATTCGTTCCCCCCTCAAATGAATGAAATGGGCTTGTATTTATAGAATTTTCCAAGGCCTAATTTTGAATATAATATTCCAGATGAAATAAGTCGTTTCTGCCAGGTGTTGACACGTGTCCTATTTGATGACTTTTCCAACTCATTTCAATTTTCGTTTAGTCACACGCTACGTGTAAAATTTATGTAATACATGAGCGTTGACACTTTGATTTATCGGTCAACATTTATTTACCGAAATTTCGATGTCTACAAATGCCCCCACTTCAAGGCACGTCGTATACATGTGCTTGTCACGTGTAGGAGATGCGTTTTGAAGTCCCTTACTGTAGATGTCGATCCAAGGGCCGTCGAGGCTTGATCTTGAATTGGGCTTGAGATTTCTTCAAGGGCCGTTGAGGCTTGTTCTTGAACTTTCGTTTGAAATTTCTTCAAGGGCCGTTGAGGCTTGTTCTTGAACTTTTATTTGAAATTTCTTCAAGGACCGTCGAGGCTTGATCTTGAAGGTTGAAATTGGACCACAAGGGGCCTCATGTGGTAGATGATCTTTGGCTTTGGTAGTGGGTGAATCGGCACATATTTTGTTGCGCTTGTTGACT